AATGATGAATGCTGTTGCAAGGAGAGGGCCTACTTGTTCATCCCTGCTGCCCTGCTAGCTTTGCCCCAAAATAAGCACACAGAAATTGTATTAATTAAATCACTGCTTAACCCATTAGCTGTAGCCTCTTATTGGCTAACTCTCGCATCTTGATTTAACCCATTTCTATTAATCTCTGTATATTGTCACGTGGCAGTGGCTTACGGGGGATGATTCAGCATGTCTGTCTCTGGCAGTTCCATGGCATTCCTTTCCTACTCAGCCTTTCTTTCTTCCAGTTCTGTCTTCCCCGCCTACCTAAGTTCTGCCCTATCAACTAGGCTAAGGCAGTTTCTTTATTCATTAACCACTGAAAGCAACACACAAGCAGAAGGAACTCCTACACCATTTGCCCTTTTCTGCTTAAATAAAAAGGAAGGCTTTAAATTTAACATAGTAAAATTACATATAACAAAACAGGTATCAAGCAAAAACTACAATTATAATATTTATATCTATTTTATCTTTTATCATAACTGAGGATAACTATAATAACATCTATTCTCCAACTCCACCAAAAACTCCAGAAGGATATAATATTGTCTAAGTAAACAGCAAGTGCATTGCAAGCAACTTCCAAAATTCTAGAATGGACAGAGACATCTTGCTGCCTGGACAATCATCCAAAGGTTTTCTGTAGCATTAGGGCATCCATCTTCATCCTACAGGCCCATATTATCCAACAGACTTTACCATGAATCAGGAAATGTCAAAGACATTTTAGTCATTTTCTTCTGTATCCTGCAAAATGTCTTGCAGACTCTCATGAAGCAAGAATCCTGAAAAAATCATCTCACCTTTAGGCAAGTTCAGCAGTCATTGCTCTGTGGGTCCTGCATGTCCAGTTTATGTAACAGTCCAGGCAACAGCAGTTTCTTACCCAAATGGCTAACCAACTCCATAAGGAGTCTCTTCAATGCCCATCTTCCTCTTGAAGTAGATTGGTGCTTCCAGAAACAGATGTGCCTCATTGTCATGAAATGTCCTAAATTTTTTAAATATTTTAAATGCCATATTCTGAAGGTCTCTGAAAGATTTGAAGAATACCTAACTAACTGAAATATATCTCTATACATCTAGAAAATCTAAAAAACATGACTCTAAGCTTGACTATTATAGATGACTACATATTAACCTGTATTTCTTCATTATATATTACATTTTAAATTAACTACACAATCACAAAACCTTAATCAAGAGCAGAAATATACATATAACAAAATTGACCTTAAATTTGTATCAGTAAACCAAGATTTATACCAATGCAAATCTCTATAGCATATTCTCCTTTAAATGGAAACAAACATTTATAGATAATATTTGGGAATATGGGTGTAGATTTGTCCATACTGTTTCCTGCTGTTTGGGGGTGCTGTTAATCAGGTCTTTCATGGTGCATCCTATGTTCTAGGTTCATCTCAGTCAGCAGCTGGGCGAAGTAATTTTTTGAGGGTGTTCACACTGACCTTTCAGGAGGGCATGGTCTATCAAACCATATTGGTCTGATAGCAATCCACAGGTTCTTGTCTTCTGTGAAAACAGAAGAAAACCTCTTTCAAAGTAACATATTCATAGACTCAAATTTTGAAATCAAGATATCTTTATGTTTGCTTAACTTAGCAGCCCATACATTGAAATGTCTCTCTGCATTTAGCTCCTTCATACTCAAAAAATTCAAAGAAAACACAATAATGCACAGAATCCAGATTCTCTGGATTTTCCATTTTCATGTGGCTTATTTTTCTTTACTTCTTTTAATCTATGACTATCTGTACTCTGTCTCTTTAAAGACTTTACCCTTTTTTAAAGCATTAACTCTATTTTATGACTCCCTATAAGCTTTTTCTTCTCTCTTCAAAGCCTATGTACATTTATCCAACACTGTGACCCATTTAGAGGTCATTTATGTTTGAATCTGTCCTATTGTGAATCTGTAATTATTTACTGTCCAGTAAGTTTTTGTTTGTGCTTTTATGTTCATAGCAGTATTACTTGTAATAGCCAGAACCTGGAAACAACCTAGATGCCCTTCAATGGAAGAATGGATGAAGAAAGTGTGGAATATCTACACATTAGAGTACTACGCTGCGGTAAAAAACAATGACTTCGTGAATTTTGCATGCAAATGGATGGAAATAGAAAACACTATCCTGAGTGAGGTAACCCAGACCCAAAAAGATGAATATGGGATGTACTCACTCATAATTGGTTTCTAGCCATAAACAAGGGTCACGGAGTCTACAATTGGTGATCCCAAAGAAGCTAACTAAGAAGAACCTTCATCTGGTGATGGATGGAGATAGAGACAGAGACCCACAGTGGAGCACTGGACTGAGCTCCCAAGGTCCCAATGAGGAGCAGAAGGAGGGAGAACATGAGCAAAGAAGTCGGGACCACGAAGGGTGCACCCACCCACTGAGACAGTGGAGCTGATCTATTGGGAGCTCACCAAGGCCAGCTGGACTGTGACTGAAAAAGCATGGGATAAAACTGGACTCTCTGAGCATGGCGAACAATGAGGGCTGATGAGAAGCCAATGACAATGGCACGGGGTTTTGAACCTACGTAATGTGCTGGCTTTGTGGGAGCCTAGCCAGTTTGGATGTTTACCTTCCTAGAAATGGACGGAGAGGGGAGGACCTAGGACTTATCACAGGGCAGGGAACCCTGACTGCTCTTTGGACTGGAGAGGGAGAGGGAGAGGAGTGGGGGGAGGGGGAGAAGGGTGGGAGGAGGGGGAGAAGGGTGGGAGGAGGGGGAGGGAAATGGGAGGCTGGGAGGAGGTGGAAACTTTTTTTTTTCTCCTTTTCTCAATAAAAAAATGGAAAAAAAAAACCTCACCAAAAAATGCTAAGCACTTAAGAATCTAAGCTGCAACATTACTAAAGGCCAAATACGGTATTGCCTGCTTGTCCTGCCCCGTCCAACATGGCAGAGCTGCTTGTGCTTCTCAGCTGCACACATTGCCCCAGTTCCATGCACACAGCCAGTCCAAGTTGCCATCAATAAAGCTGCAGCAATCTGCTCAGAAACCCCATCCAAATTCTATGTCTCCAGAGCCAGAAGTAGTGCTGGCAGCACAGTCCAGAAAGCTGTCATTTCAAAACTGCCACCATTTTTCTGCTGCGGCTGGGTCAGGAATATCTCTCTCAAAGGAGCTGTGGCAAGCCACCAGCACACAGAAAAAAAGCTGTGTCAAACTCTTGGTTTTTTAATCTAGAATTCCTTGTTAAACTTTCTCAGCTTTTACATGGATATAGTCGACCATGTTGGAGCACCAATTGTTGCAAGAAGAGGGCCCACTTGTTCATTCTGGCTGCCCAGCTAGCTTAGCCCCAAAATAAACACACAGAAATTATATTAATTAAATCACTACTTGGCCTATTAGCTCTAGCCTCTTATTGGCTAACTCTTGATTTAAACCATTTCTATTAATCTGTGTATATTGCCACATTATCAGTGGCTTACCGGAAAAAATTCAGCATGTCTGTCTCTGGCGGCTCCATAGCATTCCTCTCCTACTCTGCCTTTCTTCCTCCCAGCATTCAGTTCTGTCTTCCCCACCTACCTAAGTTCTGCTCTATCGACTAAGCTAAGGAAGTTTCTTTATTCATTAACCAATGAAAGCAACACACAAACAGAAGGAACTCCTACACCAGAATGCAAGCCATTAGATACTATTGCTTGCTTTAGATCATTCATACCTATAGGTTGCCATTTATATTCTTTGAATTTTAGGGTATTGAGTACTCAAAGGCTTGTCAGAGGAGATTACAGGCTATGTAGCTAGAACTCTGGGTTAGTCATCTCTGCCTTTGGCATGTCCTGGTGAGGCTAAATCTAGTTCTCATATCTACTCTCCCTGCCCTTCTGTTCCAATAATTTCTTTAATTATTTCAAATCTTTTTACCACTTCCTTTTGTAAAGTCTTAATCTCTTGTCCTGCATACAGTTCTAGTTACCTCATGGATTCATTTAACTTCTGGTCCTTATTCTGCACATATGATTCCAGGTATGAAATTTTCCCAGTAAACATAACGTATCATCCTTGGACATTTTCTGGATGGCATACACATTGTCTTCCTGGAGAGATACCTTATCTGTTAACCTATCAGAACTTTTTAGCAAATTTCAATTATAAATTCAACAGAATGAGTTTTGGGGATAATTTCTCAGCACCGTTTAACATGAATTGAATTTTATCTGTTAAATTAATGCTATCCTTTTCAATGGTATTAATTTTTTTCAGTTAGCTGTTCATTATTAATCTGTAAAGTGCCTCATCTTGGCTCTGTTATCAAAGCATTTTCTTAAGGATATAATATGAAAAACAAAGCTAATTCCCAAAATCAAATAAATGGATGTATAATAAAAGTCACATAAACCTTGCAGAATACTATCCATAGTGTAAGCAAAATGGTTATTAAATGCCTGAATGGTAATATTGTCTGTAACCATATAACTTTCAAATGTATTAATTTACTTTAAAAAATGTTAGTGAATTTTTGTAGGTGTAATAATATTTATTGGTCAGCAGATGTCATCACAGTTGCAATTGCATGGTGAAGAGAAGGCAGAAAGATGTGAACAGTGTGCCTGTTGGTGCCTGCTTATACACTGACAAATATACTTCGTTTGACAATTTGCAAACAGTTATCAAGAGTAATGTGATTCCATGGACAGAGAGACTTTTTTGGTGGTCAGATCAGAAAGAGACCCAAAGCTTTCCATCGGTCATGAGCCACAATGTGCACAGCTGGTAGGCTGCATTGGCGAAAGTCAGGGTCGTAGGCATGTGGGCTGTGGGTGAGAAACATGCCTGGGCTGGCCAACCAGGGAATGCAGTGGCAGCATGAATCCAGTCTCAGTATATGTGGACTTGTACCCACCTTGGGGCCATCAGATGAAGGCAAGTGCAAATAAAATAATCACACACTAGCTCAAAATTGAGTATAATAAAGGGGTTCTTTATTTAGGGGAAACTCACAGATCACAGGCCTCTGTATGAATCAGGAACAGTAACCAAACCCAGCATCTAGGTAAGAGAGAGGAGGAGGGGGAAGACCCACACGTTTTTGGTACCCAAGGCCACACCCAACCTGGTCCAGCCTATCAAAGGCCGTTAGCTAAAGGAGGTTCCCCATCAGGGATCCTTGCTCATCTGTCTTTCTCTCTGACAAATATGTGAGTTTCTGAGGGCAAAATGATATTTTTATTCAACTCTCTGTGCCAGGAACCAGCACAGACCCCGGTATATTAATGAATATTTGTGCAATTGAAAGAAAGAACAAATGGGTGCATACTAGATTATAGTCTCTGTTTAACTTCTTTATTAAATTATTTAAGTATCTTGTCTATTTGGACTGTTAGTAAAATACAGTGTTCTGAGTAGCTTGTAAATAATAGAAAATTAGTCTTCCTGACTCTGGCAGCTAATCAAGGTACAAGCAGACTCATGTCTGATGAGAACCCACCTCCTGGTTCACAGACAAAGCCTCTTTCTGCTTCCTCTCACAGTGTAATGGGGGACAACTCACTAGCTCTCTGGAATCTCTTTTAATCCTGAGAATACTACCTTCATGGAATAATAAAATCCCAATGTTACACCTCCTAATACCATCACTTTGGGTGTGAGAATTACAGTTCCTAGCTTGAGCATCAAAAGGTAGAGAGTTTCTGGTATGAGCAGATGTGGGTGTTGTACCCACCACTTACTCTTCCTCCTCTGGTTGGTTTCATTTTGATACATACTGAGCCAAACTTCCTCTTGGTAGCAAGAAGGCTGCAAGAGCCCTCGAATTTACACTCATCTTTCCAGTAGTCAAAAGTTAAAAGCTTTTCCTTCTCTATTGTGCCCTAGTGTCTCATAATTGCAAATCTTTGGTCTGAACACCATCCCTAAAGAAAGGCAAGAGGAACATACCATGCTCTAACAAAGCAGCATCCCAAAGAAAAGCAGGTGTGGCTACCAGAAGAGGAAATGCCTAGTAGGTATAGAAAAAGATGTGCTTATTCTAGATTCCCCCAACTCTCTCCAGTCCAATGTGCTCTTTGTTGCTTCCCTGAGACATGAGCTTCTAGCATTAGTGATGCTAGCCACGAGCACTAGCCCCACTCAGACTGTGTCTGGGCAACTATAGTGTCTGGCACTTTGAGGAAACTCAATAATTAGCTCATGATCTCATGGACTATTCTGCTGGATGAGCCTTGACCCAGCTCTGTCATCCTGAGTCATGTCTTTAGTTTTCTTTCTATACTTGGTGCTAGAGTTTAGAGGCCTCAGTTAAAGGCATTCCTTTCTTCTTCCATAGTCCGAAAAACTAAAATAATCAGAGATAGGCAGTGGAAATGGTAAAGGTTTCTCTCTCCTGAAGCAGCAAGATATACATGAGTGGCAAGAAAGGGCTTCCTAGTGTAGTATTCCAATACTGGGTGGACTGACTTGCCTGGCCACAAAGAGTGCTACTCACACAACTTTTCCCCGTAAGGCCCAGTCCAGGTAAAGCCCTGCAGCACCAAAAGGCACAGAGGTTGCTTTCTGTAGGCAGGAGAACAGAAAGAGAAATATAGGAAAGAATCAAGTTGGGTGCTATTTCTTCTTCCGATCTTACCAGTCAGGAGAGCCTCTGCTCTCCTGGAGGAGAAAGGATGGGATGTGTGAGAAGGGAGCCTTGCATCTTACACCTCATGTGTATTGACAACTATCCAGACAGATAGGGTGCCTGTGACCTAGCAATAACTCCCCATCTCCCACAGCTCTCCAAGCCGTGTCTTTAATTAGAGCTTTGCATATGGCCATCTGTGCATTTCTGGTGCTGCAATTCTAGCAAAGAAAGCTCTTTTTCTCCAGCCACACTTTCTGCAAACAATTCAAAGTAACCATTGGAGATGCTGCTGCTCTTTGGACCTGGCCCGGAAGGTCCCAGTGAGCTCTCTTATACAGAAAGGCAGTGTGCAGAAAGAACTCAGAGAGGAAAGGGTGAGGCTCTGACCCATAAAACAAACTTGATGGCAACTCCTTTTGTCTTCCAGAAAACAAAGTGCATGAACTGCCAGAGATTTCTGCTGACTCATGACTTTCCTGCTTTTATATCTAGTGCTCTTGTTCACCCGTGGGATTTATGGTAATTCTCACTCCCAGAGAGAGATCTCTGTAAGAATGCCCATAAACTTTAGCTGCCCTGTTTCAATTCTCCTCACTAATTAGTTTCCCTCCCAGTTAGCCATCAGCAATTTTTAAAGTCAGAGGCTACTGCTTAAATACAGTGGGGTATGAGAGCTGAGATCTGGGATTCAGCAGACACCTAATTAAAGGTAAGGCAATACAGAGATGAAAGCCTAGGATGTGCAGCAGAGTCCTCTGGGTGCCATGGGAGACTGGGAAGAACTGAACAACGGTGCCTAACCTTGAAGAGATAGTCATCCCAAAAGCTATCCAGTGAATATAGAATGACCTAGCCACACAAGCAAATTTTAATATAATTTTTTTTGTTCAAAATATTTCCCACTACATCCAACAGAGTAATCCTGATGAAGACACAAGGGAGACATTCCTTTCTATTCTTGGTGTAAGGAAAAACTAGACTTCTAACGACAGATGATTTTGCTTCCAATCTACAGACTGTGAAAATCTCAGGAAGAAATCATGTCTTCGCTTTATATTTTGGCTACCAAGGAGCTCAAATCCAATGTCCAGGTCATGTTACACAACTGTATAAGAACTAACAAAAGGTGTTTTCTGTACAGCATTTTGCCCTGATTTATCCATCCTTTCATTGTGATCTATTCACGGGGCACCACATTTCCACAGTTTTGTAAGAGGCCCTGCTGCTTTCTCAGTCTCTCTGATTGGGCTTGCGGAAAATGCTCACCGTTCTGGAAAGCTGTCAGCAGTACTCTTACGGACATGGGGAATGGGGCTGATATGATCTAACTTATCCACCTGGGCTAGAAGGGAACTGACTCAAAAAAACTTCTCCAGGAACGGGGTTGAGAGTAGAGCAACTTGTGTGCTGCCAAGAAAGATCACAGCATTCCAGAGAATGCTGGAGAAGTCATCGGTAAGGACTTCCCAGTAACTAAGTTGAAACAGTGGAACAGAAAGAATTGGGGACATTTTGCTGTAAAAGACAGACTGTTGAAGAGAACAGACACTCTCTTGACTGTCCTGGTGGTATTCATGCCTAAGTGTGTCATCCTTCTCAACAAATAGCATTGAATAAACAGGCAGCTTGTTTTTTAGGGTGGTGCAGAGCGAAACTTGGGTAGTATGGAGTGGGAGAAAAAGCTATTAAGAAAGAGGGGAAGCTGGAGCTGCAGCCAGAGCAGGGTACACGTGAAGATAGAGTTGCGGAGAAGTAATTCACCAGAGAGTGTATTTGGGTGTGTCTCTTAGGTTCCATAGTCAGAATTCAAAAACAACACTTGAGTCTCTAAAGCAGGCTGGCAGGAACAAGGAAGTGGTCCAGATGTGGAGGGTCTGACCTGCAAGAAAGAATGCATCTAATTAACATTCTCCTGAGTGAGCAGGATAGAGGAATCCCTGCTCCTTTATCATGGTTCTCTGAGGCACTATCATTTACTTAGATAAACCATCTTTGCAGATACCTCACAGACACTTCCCCCACTTGTCTTCATTCTTCTCATTGTACTAGCAAAACAAGACCTGCTTCCAGTTTCTTCCCTCCACCTCCGCCCAAACCAGACCACTGTCACATTCTGCCTGGACAACTGACCGGACCTTCTTCATATACCTTGCAGCAGCTCCTTGCTTCTTATAGCCCATTCTCCAAGCACTAAGTGGAGGTGCAAATTAATTTCTTGAATACAGACCTATCCGTTGGCTTTCTATTGCCCTTGAAATAGAATACAAATGTCCTCCTCTAACTCACAAGGGCCCTAACCGTGCAGCCACTGGTCTCCCTTCCATCCTATTTCCTCTCATGTACTACAGTTTGACTGTATTATCCCACTTTATTTCCCCAACACATCTTTCTACAGCAGTGGTTGTTGCCTCATCTTAGAGCCCTCTGCTCTTTACTACCTGCTCTCTTTCCTATATTGTTCCTGCTTACCACTCAGGCTTCAGTTTAAATCAGTGTTTTACTAAGCACCTGGGACAAAGGGGGTAGAAGATAAAGAAAGAACACGCATGTTTGGTGCTAATGAGCAAGAGGGAAGTGGACCAGATATACAGGAAAATTAATGAAAATCGAGGTCTTTAGATTAAGAAAAATAACCGCGATTCAGAATGACAAATATCACAAGTTTTCTTCCATATATGGAGGGTGTGTGTGTGTGTGTGTGTGTGTGTGTGTGTGTTGAAAAGAAACTAAGGGAAGGAAAAAGGAGACCTTAAGGGGAGGAGATAGTAGAAAGGAGGAGAAATGGAAGGGATATGACATGGAAAGAGAACCAATAAGAGTGAGGCAGGGAGTGCTGGGGGCATCAGGGAAGGGACATAAATAAGAACAGAGTGATATGTGTATGACAATGCCATAATAAAATGCACTGCTTTTGTGTGCTAACTTTAACAATTCATAATGGAAAACCTTTCTAAAGAATAGGAAATAAGGAAGGGAAAATGAAAAGGGAGAGAGAGGAAAGGAGGGAGAGTGAAGGAAAATGAGTTGAAAATTGAGTCACCACAGAGAAGATGCTCCAGGGCCTTGTTCTTGAATCCTGCCTCTCAGATGTTGGAAGAAGCTTTTAAAGGCTTCAGTCACTGAGCATACTGAGAGAACAAGGCCTGTTCTTCCTTACACAACCTGTCTCCAAAGATCCCACTGATCCTTCTGTGCCTGAAGCTCCTAGGGTAGGTCCAGGGAGATCTTGTCAACAGAGCAAATGGTAGCCCTGCCATGTCCTGACAGGGGGATAGTGGCAGGTATCTTTGGGCTATGTAGAAGGCAAATGACTTCAGGAAGGATGGAGAGGAGAAATGTGCCAAGTTTTTTTAATTTCTTTTTGTTTGTTTATTTATTTAATTTTATATTTCAACCAAAGTTTCCCTTCTTTCCTCCCAGTTTCTCCCTCTCTCTCTCTCCCCCCCATTGCCATACCCACTCCTCCTAGATATCAGCCAACAATGGCATTTCAAGTTCAGTGAGACTAGGCTCCTCTTCCTCTACTAAGGCTCTTATGGGAGGAATGGGTCCCTAGAGCAGGCAACAGAGACAACCCCTGGTCATCCTGTGAGGAGTCTCACAAGACAAAGCTATACAACTCTAACATATATGTAGAATGCCTAGGTTGGCCCCATGCAGGCTTCCTGGTTGTCAGTTCAGTTTCTGTGAGCCCATATCTGCCCAGCTTAGTTGGTTCTGTGGGTTTTCTTGTGGTGCCCTTGATCCCTCTGGCTCCTACAATCCTTCCTCTGTGTCAAGTATAATGCTTGAGTCAGAGAACAATTCTAACATCAGTCTTCCAGCTACAACGAAATGAAAACAGAATATTGCTTGTTTCATCCTTCCTTCCAAGCTATTAACTATCTCTTATTTCTGCTAAACTGTCAAATGTTTCTTTTTTAACATCAGGGTTTCTTAGAATCTAAGACCCTGCTGCAATAAACTTTACCATATCCCCCTTCTGAACAGACAGTGACAATGATGATGCTTAGAAGTCTAATACAGTGAGCCTTTGATAGACACCAGGTTCTTCTAAGCCTCTCGTGCATATTATTATATTGGATCTTTTCTAGTTCCCTATAAGTATTGTGATCCACTTTATAGAATAAGAAACTAAGGGAGAGAAAAATGAGAAAAGATGGCCAAGTTTATACCAATAAGTAAACATCCATTTTTCCCAATAGATACATCTAAAATAAAATGACCAGAACAGTCATCAAAAACTTACATATCCTCAAATTTCTTTTATGAATTGTAAAATAGTTATTTATTGACCCTCTACATATCAGGATGACTCACAGGAATCATACAACAGCCACATAAGGTGGTCCATATGCCCAATGTCCCCACAGGAAATAGTAGCTCAGCGACCTGAAACCATTTTCTCCCTACCTGTAACAGATCACAATTTGGAGGAAAGGAAGATTTGAACACACATAAATCTACCTGAAAAAAATTAGATTTTCCAGTTCAGGAGTGAGGATCCTAACTTCTTTAATGTCCCTTTTTGTTCTTCACTCCCTGCTAAAATTCCAGAACAAGCCCCTCCCACAAGGAGCCTAATACAAAGACAGAACCCAGAAACCCTGCTTTTCCAGGGCCCACTTTCCCATGACATGTTCTTCCTGCTTGTTCATCTTCTCTCAGAAGGACAGCTCAGCTCCCTACTCCTTAGTTTGTCCCCAACAACACAGATTCCATTGGTCTTTAATGCCCAAGTAAAAACCATCTCATAAAAGCCATGTAGGATTCTGGGGATATTGGCAGCAGAGAGCAGTACAGCAGTGATGGACTCTACCGTTTTATTTTACAGGTTAAGAAAACTTGAAGTTCTCTGAAAATCCCAACCCTCACCTTCTCTTTCAAGGGTTTAGTTTGTTTACTTCTGATGCTATGCTATGCTCCCAGCTGAGGACATATATCTGTCCAATTGTCTAGCTGTGTCATTTGTATCATTCCCTCTGATTACCATACCAACAAACAGACATTCAAATGTGAAATTTCATTGTTTCTTTCAGAGATGCTAAGCCAAAGGAAGGACGAGGGCTTGTGAAAGCACTCCCTTTTGAAGCCCGTGTTGCTCCAACACAGAAAATTATCTTTCCCTAACTGGACTGGTACGGAGACGCAAGGAATAATCAGACACAACTTACATGGTCATCACTGAAGGGCATCTCAGGGTCTTTTTTCCTGATGATCTCCTGAAGATCTCTCAAAGACCTCTCTCGTTTATTCTCCAAACACCTTATATACCATCACATAAATTGAGGGGGGGGGGGGGAGAATACATTAGGCTGTCTCCTAGGCAACCAGGTGAATGGCCTTTTGTCACATCCACATGTACCTGTTTGCCAAGTATGCTAGCTGTCATGTAGGCCTGAATCAGCCTCTCTATAAGATAGCCTCCAAATTACAAAGGAAAGGAACACCAAACATCCTGACCATTAAGTCATCAGCTTCAGCCAACACCTCTCTCCAGGTGATCTACATTTATAACAAAAGAGAAGGGGCAGCACCTCCTGGCTATTGTTAGGCAGAGACAGCTTGTCTGCAAAGCTAGTGACCACCTCAGATCGGGCCTATGGCTTTTGTGCCTGGTAGCCACACCATACAGGAATATGGGTCTACTCCCACACTAACTAGACTAGAAGAGCAGGAAACCCTGAGTCCTAAGACCAGTGTACCCTCTACTCCCAAATATAGCTGATAACTTTGATAGCCCTTATTTTCCAGAGATGACTGACAAAGACTAATTAGAGGATGTAGAGAGACTGTCACTTATGCTAGGCAACCAAAGTAGCTATGAAACTGACAAACCCAGACAGTAAATTCTTGTAACTAAGACAGACTGGATACATAGGTGCAAAGTAAACAAGTTAAAAATAACAACTGATTTGTGTGGACTGATGCTTAAAAGAAATACCACACTAGCTCAGAGTTGAGAAATAGATGGTTAGTTATTTAGGGATAGACTCACAAATCAGAATCCTCTGTCTAAATGGAGATCAGAAAACGAATCCTGCAACCAGAACAGAGAGGCCAGAAAACAGGCCGGATGCATGCTCTACATCGGCAAATACAGCATAAGAGGCCATGCCTCAGTGGGTAGGTAACCATTAGCTATAAAGTAATGAACTGCAAATTTCTTTGGCAAATTAAAAGAATCAGACAAGCCTATGCCCTAGACCATGTTCAATCTTATATAAAAGGCCCCCACTACTGAAAAGAATATTAACAGAGAAGAACAAAGTTGGAGGTCTAATATTCTCTGACTTTATGATTGATCTTAAGCCAAGCTATATCTGTGGAATGTAATAGAAAGCCTGAATAAATATTCAGAAAAGTCAAAAAAAACTTCCTATAGCAGATTTGTGTTGAGTTATTGATATTTAACATGTATCAGCTATCAGCTACTTTAATACCCACAGTAAGTTGTATTAGAGATGATATTACTTGCAGGCTGAACATCTTAATTAAGAAATTTATAGTACAAAATGCTCCAAAATTCAAAACTTTTTAAGGTTGACAAGATGTTCAAAAAGGCTGCTAAGAAAGAAAGAATCCGTCCCCTCCAGAGAAGAGGCCCTTGACAGCCACCTGATCCCAAGTAGTCACCCCTAATGGCCATTCTTAAACATATATATACAAAAGCAACATTAAATGGACCAGCTTATATTTATATATACTTATACATGGATTTGTTACAATAAAGTAATTAGTTAATTAATTAAAGAATGCAGAGTCCTGAATTTGAGAGGGAAACATGGGAGGAGCAGAGGGGGGAGCAAGAGGTAGAAATGATCAAATACTGCAGTCATATATTAAACTCTCAAAACTTTTTGAAAAAACTTGGGGGTA